AACCACATCTTTATCTATTCATCTGTTGAAGGGCATCTCGGCTCTTTCCACAGTTTGGCTATTGTGGACATTGCTGCTATAAACACTGGGGTGCATGTGCCCTTCTTTTCACTACATCTGTATCTTTGGGGTAAATACCCAGGAGTGCAATTGCTGGGTCATAGGGTAGCTCTATTTTTAACATCTTGAGGCACCTCCACACTGTTTTCCAGAGTGTCTGTACCAGCTTGCATTCCCACCAACAGTGTAGGAAGGTTCCCCTTTCTCCACAACCTCTCCTACATCTATTATTACCTGAGTGGTTAATTTTAGCCATTCTGACTGGTGTGAGGTTGTCTCCATATATTTAAATTCCATAAATGTTATGTAACTTTTTTAAAAATTCCAAAAATGAATGGAATTACCCTCTTCTCCCTGTGACTTTAGGAGATGCTTTTTTTTCCTAAAGTTTGAGTTTTCTTCTATAAGAAACTTCCCCTCCATTGGCTAGAAATAAGCATATTTATTATGGATGCATAAGACTCTATATTAGATTTATGGGTACAAACCAAAACAGCATAATATCTTAAAAAAATGCTCTTGTTGAGAATACAAGATATAACGATATATATGTATATATATATATAATATATACAACTGATATAATATACAATCAAAGTTAAGGACACTAAAAGTTTAAATAACAAGTTCAAGGTCATCATAACAGCTAACATTTGTAGAAGGCTTCCAAGATGCAGGTACCAGATTAAGTGTATTTATGTATGCTATCTTGTTTAAAATAACCCCATGATGTATACACTTTTATATTTTTCCATTGTCATAGAAGAATTTGATTATTGGAGAAGTAACTTGGCCATGGTTACTCTAGTAACTGATGGAACTGAGACCACCACTAATGTCCATACTGACTGTCTCTTTAGTAGAGCAGAGTCAGGATACCAGCACTCTGTTTTTTTCATGTTTGTCATGTTTTTATTTATTTCTATTTAATTTATTCATTTTTATCCTGCTGCCATACATATCACAGCTACTAACATGACCTAGCAGAGAAAAATCAATATAATAATAATAATAACAATAACAAAAAAAATGTATGACAATTAGGACAAAAGGAAAATTGAAGAAGTCTTCCTGACAGTAAAAGCAAAAAGAAAATATAAATCACAAAGCTATAGCATTTGATTTAAGAAATGTGGAAGAACCATGACTATTCCCGTTTCCATGACCACAAAGAAATTTTCCCCTGGGCAGCCGTCCCCAGGCAATGGCCCTTTAGAAGTACCTTAATGACATGCATAATAATGCATAAGAGCTTTCTCTTCTGACTTTTCCTAATGGCACAGGTCCAGGAAATAATTCAATGAGAGCAATACAGAATGGATGCAAAGGAGTCAGTCTGTACATACAGCTATGCACTGATCCGACCTAATTTTAGAACGCATTTGAGAGGACTGAGGACTGTATTTCTCAAAACAGATGTGCTAGATTCAAGATGACCTTAAAGTATGCTATTAGAATGAGGTAAAAGTGATATTTTAGACCTTCCAAGGCATGATCATAGGAAATCTGTCAGCATGCAGCTAATACAGTCTGTCTGGGTCTGTAAGTCACCAGGTGAAAAGGCCAACTGCCCTATGGTAGCCGTGCTGGGGCGACTGTGGGCAGATTCTATCACCTGCTGTCTTACCACCTTCCAGCCACTCTGCCACACCTGAGTGGAGCTCTCCGAGCCAATCCTGCCCACCAGTTCAATCACCCAGTGACCTCAGTAGACACAGCATAGAGCTGAAGAACCTCCCAGGGGAGTCCTGGTCAAATTCCCAACCCACAAAATGGTGAGGTATAATAAAATGGTTATCATTCCAAGACACTGAGTTTTGGGGATGGTTTTGCAAGGAGCTGGAACACTGGGGACCCCTAGAATGTTCTACATCAGAGTTACAGAAAATCACAAGGTAAACACGATGAATTTTCCAGAAGCATCAATATTATTTGACGCTTGAGAAGATATTTCAATAATTGAACGGATAATTAAATGAAAGCATGCTTCCATTACAATAAACTGACAGAATAGATAGAGAAATGTAGATAAATTTTTATCATAAAACCCAAGACTTCAAATATTTTGAGTGCTTTCGTGCACTGTTCTATATTATGGTAAGGTTCCTGAAATTCACTTTTCTCTGTTTTTCTGAGTATTTTGTGGAAAAGTGTGAGAAACGCTCATGAAGAAAACAGGATAGGGTGTGTGCTTCTCAGGTACTTTTCCAAAATTATCACTTTGCCAGGAAAGCTTTGGAAATCTATGGGTCTGTACTGTGAATATAGTGAGACTCTTTTTTGGGGGGGGGTCAAATTAATTTTATTATGCTCCAAGATGAGTTGCCACCAGTGCAACATCTTATTGCTATACATTCAAAAAAGATTCACACGCTAAACAAAATCTCAGTTGATGAATGGAAATGAATGATTGAAAAATCTTTAGGAACTTCACACATACACTATGTGGCTAGCTGAAATTGACTACCATGTAGTATTTAGATATAAAAAGGCTCCTGCTAGTTTGTTAAATGCAAAGGCTACCAGACAATCATTTAGCTGCAGTACCTATGGGAAGCTTTCAGACAGACTGAGGCGCAGGTGTAGTGTTGCCCACAGGGCAAGCTGGTAGAGGGCTGAGACACGCCACCTTCGTATCCACAATGAACTTAGTCTTCACACCTGGGCTGAACCCCAGAGCTGCTGCGTTTCCACCCATAGTAACTTAGACTCTGTGCAACAATGATAACAGAAAGCCTTTTTTATTCTTTAAGAAGAATAGACTCGATTACCTTTGGCAAATTCTATACCAGTCTTACATGTTTAAAATTGTGTTTCCAACTCAAAGAATTGAGCAGCTCCTGATAAGTACTTATCACACCAAAGTTAGCCGGAAAGCCCTGAATTCCTTGGCCAAAAGTTAAAAGAGATCTAAAATTGGCATTACCTTGAAGACATTTCTAGGCTATTTAAAACGTTTTTTAATAATGTCAAAAAGAAAAAAATGGGAAAATGTTTAATATTACTTAAAATAATTGTAATGTTCTATTTACCATTTGCACAAATTCCTAATTCTATTGGCTAATAGTTGTCCAGCCTCATCATCAACACCAGACTCTTGTGTCACTGAGCTTAAGCCACAAAAATAAATGAGAATAAGCCGGAAAAGATTTCCAGCCATAGAGGGCACTGTTTTACTAAAGTACAAAAGCCTAGAATCTCTCCCTTGTGTTTAAATTACTCTTGCAAGAAAGGTAGCATTCTTGGAATAACTTAACTATTTCACTGCACCACTTACTGCTTTCGGTACAAAATCTTTTAAATTGTTTCTTTTGATAACTAGATGCATGATCACTAGAGATGATGTGATAATGGTTAAAATTCAAGCCAAGATCTTTAACAGTCATTTATTGGATTGGCATCCACCTTCTCAGGGTGTCCAACCTGAGTAGACAGCTCTTCAATTCAACAAAAAAGAAAGCCAAGATATTCCTCAGGAAAACTCGATAATAATACTCTAAAAATTTCACTGATGCCCACAGAGGATCTGCCTTCAGTCAATAAAGATTTCTCACATGCTAAATACAGGATTTGTAAAAGATTCAGGTAGCTGATTAACCAGATTGTCTTGTTATAGAGTCATTAGTCATTGGGACATGTATGGAAAAGAGAATGGCATTTACTCTAGGCTTTCTTGGCACCTCTTTCTGATATTAATTATTTAGCAGAGACGAAGCTCTGATTATGTCACTCCCAGTTCACGGTAAAAAACAAAATCAGGTGTACCAATTTTTTTCTTGAAAAATTACTACTATCTTTTATGTTTCCCTCATTAACAATCATCAGATTTTCTAAAAAGATTTATTTATTTATTCCAAGGAGAGAGAGAGAATGAGGGGAGGGGCAGAGGGAGAAGGAGAAAGAACCCAAAGCAGACTGTGTGCTGAGCACAGAGCTTGACATGGAGCTCCATCCCAAGACCCTGAGATTGTGACCTGAGCCGAAACCAAGAGTCAGACCCTTCACGGACTGAGCCACCCAGGTGCCGCAATCATCAGATGTCTTTTAAAATAATATGATCAGTTAAGTACACAGATTTGCCCGTATCTTTCTTTTTTCTATTTATTTATCATTGAAGTGTAATTAACATAGTGTTATGTTAGCTTCAGTTGAACAATATAGTGATGCAACAATTCTATACATTTCTCAGTGCTCATCATGGCAAGTGTGCTCTTAATCCCCTTCCCCTACTTCGCCCATCTCCCCACCTCCCTCCCCTCTGGTGACCATCAGTTTGTTCTCTAGAGTTAGGGGTCTGCTTCTTGGTTTGTCTCTCTCTCTCTTTCTTTTTTCTCCCTTCGCTCATTTGTTTTGTTTCTTAAATTCCACATATGGAGTGAAATCATACGGTATTTGTCTTTCTTTGACTGACTATTTCACTTAGCATAATACCCTCTGGGTCCATTCTTGTTGTTACGAATTGATCTCATTCTTGTTCATGGCTGATATTAATTTAAAAAGATACAAGCACCCCTATGTTTATTGCAGCTTTATTTACAATAGCCAAGACACGAAAGCAACCCAAGTGTCCATCCATTGATGAGTGGACAAAGATGTGAAATATATATATATATATTCATCATCCTCTTCCTTTTAACCTCCCATCCCCACTACTAGACAAATCCTTCCTTGACAAACTAATTCTGACAGTTAGTCAGAATTTCTCCTAGTTCCCTGTTTCCTTACTCTCAACTTCTGAAATCTCACTTACTCATCTCTTGACACACACACATACACACACACACACACACACACACACACACACACACACACACACGGTTCTCAAATTTATTTTTTTATACCCATGCCCTATACTAAGTAATACTGTGCCAGCTATGAAACCACTCTTTTGACAGCAAGTTGACCCCCCTGACCTCCTCTTTGTGATGCCAAGTTGGGACATGGAGAGCAAAAATGATTTTGCCCATCAGCTGCTTCCTGGAAACATGTCTCGTGGGAAGCTCTCCAGTCAGTCTGCCAGGCTGGAAGGGAGAGAAGTTCTCTGTTTGGCTTCCCTTTGTCCCTCGAGGCTTCCTCAGCAAGGCTGCCTCACCCTAGGGGCAGAAGCTGACTCCACTTTGCACACCTGCAGGGCCAGCCCTTCACACCAACAGCAGCCCAGCAGTGCTCCCGTCTCAGAGGCTGGGGCTCCACTACATGGGACCCTCCTCCAAACACCCACGTTCTCATAAAGCCTCCTACCTGTTTGCTGAAGTCATTCCCCCCATAAAACCTTTGTGTTGTGCTTCTCTTTTTCGATAGCCAAGCCCTAATTCCCCACAATCTTTATATTAAATTCCCTCAGTTAAAATGATTGGTCTAGTTTCTGTCACATGGCTGTGTTCTGACTGATACACCTGTTTATGACTTAGACGCTGATATCACTTCTCCAAATTACCGAAAGGTATGACTCATACCTGACAACTCCTTAGTTAGAATATGCAGCACAGTTTCTGGAGCAAAAAGATGCTTAATGAAGGTGAGTTCACAGTCCTAGAGACATTGTTATACTCCAGGCATCAATGCTGATAATTCCTAAAATGAGGCTTATATGTCTGTTAAGGTAGTTCTCAATATAACTAAACAAGAAATCACAAAGTTGAAAAACAGATACCTTTTGCCCATTCGTGGTCACAGAACAAACTTTTCTATCCTGGGAGGTTGGGTTCCAGAGACCCCATTCCAAACAAAGTCCCCTAATCCACTGAGAATGTTGCCCACTAGAAGGGAAACTTAAATTAAGCCTTTAACCCATGACCCTATTTCTGACATTTACCCCTCAAAGATAATGAGAGAAGAAAGAGATAAAATTGGACTTCATTGTATCCCAGGCCGCACTCTGAATGCAATAGTAACCCTTTTAAATCTCAAAGTATGACAACAAGACAGATATAATCATTACCTGCATTTTTGCACAAAAAGGAAAGTGGAGTGACTTGCGCTTGGTCAGAAGGTGAGTAAAGTGTTTGGGACCCTACATGCTTGCTGACCAATCATTCACCCCCAATCAGGTGTCCAACAATCCAATCCAGTATAGACACAAGCTGTGCAGTTACCACAGAACCCATAGGTGGAAGGGTCTCAGTCCCACAGGACCTTCCCCCACTTAAGAGGCCAGCCACAATTCTCAGGAGCCACCTACAATTCTGAATGATTTAGTTATAAATTCTGGGTTTCCCAGAACCCATCCTTCAGGTTCAATGATTTGTAGAACTCATTGAAAAGTGCTATGCTTGTGATGACCATTTTATTATAAAGGATACAACTCAGAAACAGCCGAATGGGAGAGATGCACAGGGCAAGGTCTGCTTTGGGATGGGAGACACAGAGCTTCCAGGCCCTGTCTCTTCCGAGCACATCAGTGTGTTGGCACTCTGCCAAACCTTGGTGTTGCGAGTTCTTTTGGGGGATTTATTACAGAGGCATGGTTGATTAACTCATTGACAATGTGACCGGCCCAGTCTCCATCCCCCATCCCTTCCTCAAAGGAAGGTGGGGGGATGGAGCTCAAAGTCCTAAACCCATGCATGTTTGGTCTTTCTGGCAGGGTCAGCCCCTCCCTGGAAACTGTGCAAGGACCCACCATAAGTTACATTAGCAGAAATCCGGGTCTGGCTGAAAGGGGCCTTTTATGAACAACAGAAGACACTCCTATCACTCAGGAAATCTGAAGGGTTTTTGACACTCTGTGCCAAGCACTAGGGACAAAGATCAAATATATGCATTTTTTCTTATACCACAGACACTGACTACAAAAACCTCTTCTAACGACAACATCTTGAAGTAAAGAGAACCAGAAGGCATGAGAGGGGGCAAATCCATCCACAGGGGGAGGTGAAGAGCATCCCTGTGGGATCCAAGCTATAGGAGCCTGGAGCATGAGAGCTGCAGGTGCAGTGGGACAGAGGGGAAAGACAGACTGCCAGGCTCACACATCTAGGCATGAGGCTCCCATGAGCAGCATGTCACCATGTTTCTGCTGACGAAAGCCTCAACACTTCAGCTGAAGGGCTTGGAGTGAATCCTAGGAGCTCAAAGGTCTCCAAGAAAACAGTCCCTTAGAGACAGGGGCACTCCCTGTAGGCAGGGGTCCCCAAAGGTCTCTGGCTCCACCCCAACAATCCAGAAGACCCCAGAGCCTTGGTTTCTTCCATCCTGATGCTCAGCTCCCAGTGGGCACAGACTGGAAGGAAATCTGTAATCCAGATTGTACTGTTTACAGACAACTCTGTGCTGTTCCCAATTCTTAACAATGTTCTTCACTTGCTGGAAGTATAAATCATGGACATAGTGTAAGCTACAAACACTCTCTGGGAGATACCATGGACTCAAAGGGGCCCGCGGCAGAGGAGAAAGACCCAGCTCTGTTCCCAAAGGTGATGTGGCAATCTTCTGGTACCCGGCCCAGAAACAGTGTTTTAAACATGAGCTTTACGTGGAAGGAAGGACAATGGAGCAAGCTGCCACCCCCCTCTGCTTTTATTAGAGCGAGAGGACAGAGAGCCTGGCCGGGCGTGACCATGTGGGACCCATTCTCAGGGCAGGCCCTGGATGTGTGCAGTGCCCCGCTGCAGTCTGGGACCAAACCACTCCATGCTGAGCAGAACACTACCCTGACTTCATGCAAACCCCTGGTCTCCTTCACCTCCACCTGCTCATCCTACGTCCTACAATTCTACCTCCAGTCACCCAGGAAATCGGCCACTTTCTCAACCTTCATTTAGTTTACTTGACCTATTTGCACCAATATCACCAGGGTATTTTTTCTGGTTTTCTAGAGGTAGAATTAGCATATAGCATCCATTGTATAATTTTAAGGTATACCACATAATCATTTGATATATGCGTATATTTCAAAATGATTACAGTAAGGTTAGTTAACATCCAGCACCACACATAGTTACAGTTTTTTCCCTGGGATGAGCACTTTTAATTCGACTCTTCTCATGACTTTCAAATATGCAGTGGGGTCTTGTGAACTACAGTCATCATGCTGAACATTCCATCCCCCATGCTTACGATCGATCACTGGAAGCTTGCACCTCCACCATGAGGATTTAGTGGCTGCAGCATTACGGAAGTTGTAACATCTGGTAAGGAAAATCTCCTAGGCTCTTATTCTCCTTTACAAGTGTGTCTATCTGAATTATTTCACAGCATATACACACATGAGAACATCAGGCTGTACACCATACATATACACAATGTGTGTCAATCATTCCTCGGTAAAGCTTCTCCCACCATGCCTTGCACCACCTTTGATTAGTTTTCTTTCCAATTGTTCTTAGCATCTGTTCCTCCCCACAGAATGTTCTGTGATGGTGGAGACTTCTTGTTTGGTCCCAGTGCCCTGCGCTTACAAATTCTTGTTATCTGAATGAATGAATGAAGAGTCTGGCCAGCCATGTTCCAGAGGCAGGATGGAAGACACATTGCCGACTAGGGCTCAGATCATGGCTTCCTTATTTGTGAAACCTGCTAGCCATGATAGTCACCCAGAGGCTAATCCTGGTTCATGTTGGGTGTGATAGTCACCCACAGGCTAATCCTGATTCATGCTGGGGATGATAGTCACCCACAGGCTAATCCTGATTCATGCTGGGGATGATAGTCACCTATAGGCTAATCCTGATTCATGCTGGCAATGAAAGCCATCCACAGGCTAATCCCGATTCATCCTGGGGATGATAGTCACTTACAGGCTAATCCTGATTCATTTTGGGAATGATAGCCCTCTCGCAGTCTAATTCTGATTCAACCTGGTGATGATAGTCACTTCACAGGCTAATCCTGATTCATTCTGGGGATGATAGTCACCTACAGACTATTCCTGATTCATGCTGGGGATGATAGCCCTCTCACAGTCTAATCCTGATTCAACCTGGTGATGATAGTCACCTCACAGGCTAATCCTGGCTCCTGTACTTAACACAGTACTTCCATGTTGTATATGACACAAGAAGAAAAGGAAGTAAATGTGAAGCCCATGGAAACTGAAAACAGGAAGGAAACCAGTTATTGAACACCTCCTATATTGCTGCTCAGGGCTGGAGCTTTACAAACATCTTTTAAAAAATCACTAAAGAATACATATTTTTGCATCTCAATTTTACATGATGAGAGAATGTGATTTAGATTAGTCAAGATTGCACAGCAAATAAGCGACTCACTGGGGATGTGTCCACCACTCCCACCGAGCTAGTTTTCTCAAAGGACAACAATGGTCTCCTTTCCTCAGAATCATTTAAAATTCCCATTTAAAATGTTGCCTCCTAGGTCAATGCCAGAGCAGCAGACCCACCCAAGGATGAGCAGGACTCTGCTGAATTCAGTCTTCCTGCCCATGGAGAGCCACTGCTGGTCTCCTGAGGCTCCAGCAGGAACAAGCAAAGGGGGCAAAGACAGCACAGAAAATCGAAAGCACAGGAGGAAACTGGAGTCAATGCCAGTGGAGTGTAGACTTCATAACTTGTCAGGGTTGGACATAAAGGCAAGGCAGAGGAAAAACTAAAAACATCCTTGTTAATGCATCTGTCCCATCACTGTCCAAATCTCCATGACACAAATCACAGTCACCCTTTTCCATGCTGTCAACTATCCCACCCCTGAGTCTCCTCACCTGCATCAGGGAAAGGCAGCAGCTTGAAGAAACCTTCCTACTGTTGCAAAAACATCATGGATGAGCTACCACCTCACATCCAATTTAAAAAAGGGGATAAAACCTACATAAAAAAATCAAGGACTAAATCTTGAGGCAGAAAGATGTACTGAGATAACTATCTGATATAGTTATAGCTATAAATAATGTCTAAAACAACATTCTTGGGACACCTGGGTGGCTCAGACGGTTAGGTGTCTGCCTTGGGCTCGGGTCATGATCCCAGGGTCCTGGGATCAAGTTCTGCATTGGGCTCCTTGCTCAGTGGGGAGCCTGCTTCTCCCCTGCCTGCCACTCCCCCTGCTTGTGCTTGCTCTCTCTCTCAAATAAATAAATAAAATCTTTTAAATTTTTTCAAAAAAAAAATAAAACAACAGTCTTACTGAGATGTAATTGGATATCATATAATCCATTCATGTAAAATGTAGAATTCAATGACTTTTAGTATACTCACACAGTTGTAAATCCATCACCAAATCTCAGAATTTTTTACCTTTAAGAAAATCCACCCCCAAGGGGGGCGGAGCAAGATGGCGGAGGAGTAGGAGACCTAGATTTCGTCTGGTCTCCGGAATTCAGCTGAGTAGGGATCAAACCATTCTGAACACCTACGAACTCAACAGGAGATCGAACAGGAGAGTAGCAACAACTCTCTGAACAGAGAAGCGACCACTTTCTGGAAGGTAGGGCGTGCGGAGAAGTGAATCCGAGGCGATATTCGGGAGGATAG